CCTGGAGTCCCCGCGGCGCGCGGCCAGCGCAGCTCCGGCCCGCCGCACACTGAGCCCCGCCGCCGAGCCAGCGCGGGCTGGGGCCGGGCGGCGGCTGGGGGCGCCGCCCCCGGGAGTCTTTCTGCGGCCCCTGAGGAGAGAGGGCGAAAGCGAGGGTGACCGGGGCCGAAATCATGAACCGGAGTTTTCACAAGTCTCAGACCTTGCGCTTCTACGACTGCGGCGCGGTGGAAGTCAAGAGCAAGGTAAGCCCCCGGGGCCCGCCCAGCGGCTCCGCACCCCCCCCACACACCCGGCAAATGAATGGGGCGCCCCACGGAGGAGGACGGGGCAGTGTGGGAGGCGACAGGCGCCGGCGATAACTTCAGAGCTCTGCGCCGCGCGCCGCTGCGCGGGGTCCGTGGGATGCGCGGGGGACCCCGGCCGTCCTTCACGCCCCCCGCGCCGACACAAAGCCTGGCGGCCCCGGGAGGGTCCTGGTGGGGGCGCGGCGCTCGGAGGGCCGAGGGCCACCGGACGGCCGGTGCGAGCTCTGGACCCGCTCTGCGGGAGCTGTTCTTTTGTTCCACGAGCCGGAGGCGACCCGGGCGCGCCACACGTTGGAGGGGAGGGCGGCGTTTCCGGGGCGAATTGGGGACCAGGGATTCTGGGCCGTGGAGGGGCCTCTGGGGGCCCGGCCTGGGGATGGCCCGGGCTGCGTCGCCTCCAAGGCTGCGAAGGAGGCTCGTTACCGGCGAGGAGACTGGCCGCAGGCTCCCGAGAGGTGTTCCCCCCCGGCCCAGACCCCAGCCCCGGGTTCGGCGCTTCGTACCAGACCTCCAGGCACCGGTCGCGCCCCCGCCCCCGACCCAGCCTCCCCCGGGCGCGCCCCCGGCCCAGACCCCCGCAGGCGCGGCCCCGACCCAGACTCCCCGCCCAGCCCCGGGCGCGCCCGGCCCCTCCTGCTGCCCGCGCCCGGGCGGAGCGTGCCCGAACTTGCGGGTCGCGGTGCCTGTCTGGGTAATTGGTTGATAGAATCTGGCGCTTCTGCTTCGCCGGGGCAGTTCCTCAGCTGCAGACACTTTTGTCCGGGAGGGTCTCGGTGCCGGACCTCGCCGACAGAGGAGGCGCTATAGTTAGTTGTTCGGGGTCCTGTGGGAGGGGGCCCCTCGGGCCTTTTGCTAGCTACTGTCTGGCAGCCGAGGGGCCCTCCCGCCCTTTCTCTCTTCGCACCCCAGTTCTCGGTAAAGCAAGACGGCGCTGCGGTTGGGGGGATGGGCCGGGCCGCGGAGGGGCCTGACCCCCAACTCTGCGCACACCGTGAGCACAAGGCGGGTGTTCCCTCCCTGGGCTGCCCCAGCCTTTGGTGTAGCTTTCCAGGGTGTCCGCAGAGGACTGCGGGGGGGCTCCTAGCAAAGGCAGGGCCACCTCTGGAACGCGCTCCAGTGAGTTGCAGGGTTTTCTTCTCATCCTGGGGTACACAGACTTTCTCTGAACCCCTCATCTCTGTTGCATCCTGCCCTTCCTCCTGGACGCTGATGACCCCACCTCACACCCCTCTCCTCGGGAGCACAGGAATGCCCCCACTCCCAAATCTGGTGTGCCAGCTGTGGGTATATGAGAAGACGCACCCACAGACATGAGTAGGAGGCTGCTTTAGCTCCGCGGGAATGCCACTTTCTAGAGCTGCACCGTCTAGTACAATGGCCACTAAGCGCGTGTGGCATTTAATCACATTTAACTTTTTATTTGGAAATCATTGCAGGTTCAGGAGCAGTTGTGAGAGAGAATATGGACATCATGTACACTTTGCCCAGCCTCCTCCCACAGTAGCATCTTGTATGAGTGGCACAATATCACGTCCAGACTGACCTTAGGGCTCAGAAGGGCAACACGCCTCTATGTGCACTTAGCTCCGTTCGGCTGTGTGCAAACCAGCACAGTCAGGGTGCAGGACGGCTCCAGCCCAAGGGTTTCTCTGCTGCACTTTCACAGTGGCTATTTAACGAAGATGGATTAACACTAATATTAAACAGCCTGTCCCTGGTGCTCAGTGGCATGTGCGGTGGGTGACTGCTGTATCAGACACACAACTCCAGAGGGTTGGAGGCCCCAGCAAGGCCCTGGGATGGACCTGTGGGAAATGCCCTCACCAGGCCCTACCCTGCAGTCCTGTGCAGGGGGCTGGGGGGTGAGCATCTGCTTTGCCTCCCCTGGGGAGTGTTGGCCCCCCTGTCTCCTCCAGCTCCACTCAGCAAAGGGCGTGGCTTCTCACCCCGAGCATAGGTTCAAGTTCAGATGCAGCGGTGCTCCCTCCAGGTGAGTGGGGCAGAGGCAATTTCTGGTTGCACTTGGGAATCTTTGGAGGGGCCACACCAAACTGGACCCTGACCCTGCTGGTCTTGCTCTCATGCACCCACCCCCACCCCCAACTGCTTGTCTGGATCATCCACATGGCTCTTCCTTCTGTACAGAGCCTCCCACTTACCCCTTCGTGGTTAATATTTGTTACCACGGAATCCCTCTCTGCAGGGAACCCCTGTTGTCAAAATGCAGGGGGCAAAACTTTATGACAGTGATGTCTTCCCTCAGTCTAAATGTACCACCATAACGCCCATGGATTTAATCTGTGGGAAGAATGGCAGCCAGAGAGCTGGGTTCGGCCTGGGTTCTGCCACCTACTGACTTTGTGAGCTTTCAGGCAAATCATTTAACTTTCCCAAGCCTCAGTTATCTCATCTGTAAAGTGGGCATTGTACTTGTCCTTAGCTCCCAAGATAAAACGAGGCAATGAATGCGAGAGCACTTTGAGTTAAGAACTGCGGGTCAGGGTCCTTTGGCAGTTCAAAATATACACTTGGAAAACTGTCTCAGATCCTCTCAGAATTTTTGTCATTAACCACCTGCTGCGGCTGGTCAGTTCCCAATGCCTGAGGCAGGTGGCTCTTCCCCGTTATGTAGCCCCTTACACGTCCCCAGACATTTTTATTTTAATCCCAGTGATTCATCTGCTTCTCCCCAGACCAGCAGTGTGCACTTCTTATTACCTAGTTCTGGTAACAGGGCTGCCCTTTTTCACACTTAGCTTTGACTTTTGCCTCTCCTTCCACAAGACCTGCATTGGGGGGGGGGCGGGGGAGCACAGATGTTTAGGGTAGGGTGTTTGAGGTCGAGGGAAGCTGGAGCAAATGCCCAGGCTGCCTTAGAGGGTAGTAGGAAGGCCAGTGTGCGGCTGAGGATGGGTCTGCAGGGGCAGAGTCATGGGAGATGAATTCTCATTTGAGCAACAGTGCGTTTGTGAACCCAGCAATGCTTTTAACTATGTTAGTATTTCGTCAATTCTGTCATCTGCATATTCTTGAAAAATCTAACCAAACACCGTTTGTCCCTTCTCAGCAGTGTGCTCAACTGGAGCCCACGACCCTCTGGTCGGAGGCCCAGAGTTAGATGAGTCAGCAGCATCTCGGGTTCCTTCAGACTCGAGCACAGATGACCTACTCCTTGTGGTCTCACTCCACACTTTGTTTGGCTGGGGTGCCTCTGCTTTGTGGCTTCCTCCACCTGAAATGCTTCCCCTGAGAATCTGCCCCATCCTGAGGACCCTCTAGGACTGCCTGTCTGCTGCGGAGCTGTTCCCAATGCCTGCACCAGGCCACACTCCCTCCATCTGAGCCTCTTTTGGTGTTTCTGGTCATCTTACGGTGCTTGTCTTGATGCTGGTGCCACGGTTATGTTCAGAGCACAGGTCGAGGGCTTGTAGCCTCCACTGTGTCTGGGGGAGAATACCACCACTGAAGGTTTTCATCCTGTTTGTGCTTCCTTGTTTAAAGAATGCCGAGGATTTTTTGGATTCTAAATAAATACATTGTTACTGTAGAAAATTTAGAAACCACAGCCAAGCACAAAGAGGAGTGAACACTGCTGGTAATTCTCCTGTTCAAAGATGAGCCACTGTTAAATGTGGCCTGTGGCCACATGATCTTTCATATGCGTGTATGCTTGCATGCATTTTTGTTGTACAGATTAGGATCATACAGGTACATTACTTTCTAGCCTGCTCCTCACCTCCAACTTAACAGTGTATTGCAAATATTCTTTCATGTCCTTAATATTTTTAAAAAACATTTTTTAAAAATGCATGTGTAGTATTCTATCTCATGTGTAAACCATAATTAATTTAACTAGTGTCTTATTTGGGTTACTCTTTTTTCCATAGTAAACAATGCTGTGAATAACATCTTTGTATTTAAGTCTTTACATAAAGATTATGTATAGAATATACACATATGAAGTATGTAAAGATTATTGATTGTATTAAATCAGTGCAGAACTCTTATTGTTTCTTTAGGACAAATCCCTAGAAGTGAACTTACTGGGTGAAAGGTATGCACATTTTTAAGGCTTTGAATACATATTGCTAAATTTTCCTCCAGAAAGTCTCTTTTACATATATATAAATGTATGCTGTTTTATATCCATCTGTCTCTCCTCTTCTTTTAGCACTGGGCATTTTCTCATTCTTTTCCAATTAGTTAAGTGAAATGATATCTCATTGTTTTAATTTGTGTTTCTTAAGTTACTAGTGTACTTCTAATTTGTATTTCTTAAGCTACTAGTTATTGGCTATTTGTGTATCTACCTTTATTTGTCTGTCCTGCATACTTTTCTTTACTAGTGGTCTTTTTATTGAGTTACTGAGTTACGAGAGCTACTCATTCACAGGAGGTTTCTAGTCAGTGCAGGTGGTGCTGGAGTGACTGGTTTAAAGAGTGCTGTGGCCTTGCCCCCTCCCCCTGCCATTAAACCTAGGCCCCCTGGGAGGGAGTGTGTGGGGAGCCTGTTGGTGGGCTGGCCGATGCACTGGCCAGCCAGGTTCTGCTGGGGACAGCCAGGATTGCAGTGTTTTATGTCAGCACATGTCCTCTGGCCCCCAAGACCTCATTGCTGGCTGAGGTGGTCAGCTGCCGTGGCACTGCGGGTACACGCCTTTCCATCTCGTGCAAGGTGGGGTGGCTGGTGGGATGGAGCCCAGGCCAGGCCTCCCCATTGGGTGACTGGGCATTTGCTTTCCATGGGCCAGTTGAGAACTGCCTGGACATGGTTTGACTCACCGGTGTGTGTCAGCTACGCCCTTGTAGGATTCCAGTTTTGTTGTATTTGTGCACGTCTGTGTTTAAGCAGGTTCAGAGACTTGATTTGGGAAGTCACGTCCAGAGGAGGCTTATCAGGAATCCAAATGGGGAGTCAGTCTGGTGGGCTCCGATGG